ATACGGTTTCTATGTAACTCTGTATTGTATTACATTTTTAAAATAAATTGAAATTTTAAAATAAGAATAAATGCCATGCAAAGGATTGAATTCCCTGAGCAGAGAGGGACATGGTTAGTTTTATGCTCTGGAAAGCTCCCTCTGGCCCCTGTGTGGAGGAATTTTTATGAGAAGGTAGGCAGAGACAGGGCTACTGCAAGAGACTAAGAAAGAGTTAATGAGGCCCGGCGCAAGTTCATGATCAGGGAGTGAAAGGAAGGGAAGAGTTTGAAAGCTATTTAGGAAGTAAAATTGCCAATATACTGTCAGTCTTTTTCTTTAGCCTTTGGTATTTTTGTTTGTTTGTTTTTACACACTTTCCTTTTTCCCTTTAGAATTGAAGTATGACAAAACAATAGACAAATGCATAAATCATAAGTAGACCGCTTAGGAAATTTTCACAGTGACCACCACCCAGGGCAAGACCTCTCCCAGTCAACATACCCCCAAAGGTAATCACATATCTGACTCTGTCACCAAAGCTGAGTTTCATCAGTTTTGGTTTTTTTTTTTTTTAAAACGCTAAATTGAATTTATTAAAATAACAGAGGCATTTAATAATCACACATCATGAGAGTCTAGATCCAGGTGGCTTCAGAGCTGATCCATCCAGGGCATTGGGTCAACAGCTCTCTGAAGTTCTGACTTTTTCCTTAGGCTGGCAAGGTGGCTGCCATCACCCCAAACATCATACCCTCACCAGACAATGCCAAAGGAAGGAAGCAGCAATAACCAGCTTCATGAGCCATCTCCTCAAGTGCCTTCCTGTTTTCTCAAAGACACAGAAAATGAGCAGCTGCAAGTGGGCTTGGAAAGCCAGCGCCCCTCTTTTTTAGACTCCATGGTCAAGGTAGGTTAAGAACAACCTTCTTAGGGTGGGGGCCATTATGACGGTCAAGCCATTTCCTTGGTTTCCAACCAGGCCAATTCGACGCTAGGAATCAAGTAGTACAAATATTTATTTTGGTTCAAGTGTCCTTTCTGTCTAAGGTATAATCATTACTCTGGAATTTTCTGTTCTTGTTGAGCTTCTTGAAGTACTGTTTTTGTTAGGGTGGTTTTATTTTTTGTTGCTGCTTTCCAGTTTTGAGATATAATTGATATACAGCACTGTTTAAGGTATACAGCATAATGATTTGTCTTACATGTATCGTGAAATAGTTACTACAGTAAGCTTAATTAATATTTATCATCTCATAAAAATAGCAAAAAAAAAAAAAAGGAAAGAGAGAAAGAAGAATTTTTTTTCCCTTGCGATGAGAACTCAGGTTTTTCTTTCAAAGCTTTCAAATATACTGTACAGCAGTGTTAACTATAGTCATCATTGCATCCCTAGTACTTACTTATCGTATACCTGGAAGTCTGTACCTTCTACCACCTTCATTCAATTCTTTCTCCTCCCGCCTCTGGCCTCTAGTAACCACAAATCTGATTTCTCTTCTATGGCTTCATTTTCTTGCTTGTTTTTTACATTTCGTGTTGAAGTGAGATCATATAATATTTTTCCCCCTCTGATTTATTTAAAGCCCTTAGAGTGCATCCATGTTGTTACAAATGGCAGAATTTCCTCCTTTCCTATGGCTGGATAATATTCCATTGTACATATATTCAACAACTTCTTCATCCATGGATGACACTTAGGTTGCTTCCCTGTCTTGGTTATTGTAAACATAGCTGCAGTGACACGAGGGTACAGATATCTCTTTGACATCATGTTTTTGCTTCCTTCAAATATCTTTTCAGAAGTGGAATTGCTGGATCCTATGATATTTCTATTTTTAATTTTTTGAGGAACCTCCATACTGTTTTCCATAGTGGTTGCACCAATTTGCATTCCCACCAACAGTGTGCAGGACGGTTCCTCTTTGTCCACATCCTCACCAGTGTTTGTTATCTCTTGTCTTTTTGATGTCATTCTACCAGGTGTGAGGTGGTATCTCACTGTGGTTTGGGTTTGCATTTCCCTGATGATGAGTGATGCTGAGAATCTTTTCGTGTATCTGTTGGCCATTCATATGTTTTCTTTGGGAAAATGTCTAGTCAGGCCCTTTGGTGATTTTTAAGTTGGGTTATTTGGTTTTTACTATTGAAGTTAGTGAGTTCTTTATATACTTTGAATATTAACCCTTTATCAGATATAGAATTTGCAAATATTTGTTCCCATTCCATTGGTTGTTTTTTCATTTTGTTGATCATTTCTTTCACTGTGAATTTTGCCTGTTTTGAACTTCATAAAAATGAACTCATGGTGTGTATTCTGCTGGGCCTGGTTTCATTCATTCTATAGTCTTTCTGTGAAATTCACTCATATTGCTCTGCATAATGGGGGTTTGCTCATTTTTGTTGTTAAATAGTGTTCCTCAAGTAACTAAGTAATTATCTACTTGATTGTTGATAAGAATTTGAGTTGTCTCCAGTCCTAGATAGTACATCTGTAAGCATTCTTATATATGTCTTTTGGTGAGCATATATAGATCCTTCTGTTGGGTACATATTTAGGAGGGCAATTTCTGGGGGATAGGGTATGTGTATTACTGGCTTTAGTAGATACTGCCAACATTTTCCAAAATGGCTGTGCCAATTTACTTCCACACTTGTAGTGCATGAGCGTTCCAGTTTTCATGCCTTCACCATTTTGTAGTATTGGGTTGTCTTTTCTTTCTTTCTTTCTTTCTTTCTTTCTTTCTTTCTTTCTTTCTTTCTTTTTTTTTTAAGTTAGAAAAGGATGTCACAAGTATGTAGTGATATCTCATTGCGACTTTAATGTGCCTTTCCCTGTGACTAACAGAGTTCAGCACGCTTTATGTTTATCTTCCATTTGTATATCCTCCATAATGAAGTTTTAAAAATGGGTTGGCTTTTTTTCTATTTCTGCCTTAGTTCTTAATTACAAATGTGTGTGACTATTTGATTTTATACATTCTCCTCTAGCCTATAAACTCCTTAAAACTGACATCCGGTTCCTTTAATCCACAGTCTTATCTTATGTGTTTGCTAGTGCTCGGGACACAGTAGGTAATTAATCCTAATCGACGAGTAATTGAAATGGTTTGGACATGAATCCCAGAGTTGTCTGTACTATGGCATGGCTCCGCCTCTCCTTAAGTCTCCAGGAAATGGGATTATTTCTTCTTGAGACCAGCTGAGTCTGTCCAGTGCTACTGGAAAGTTGTGATGGGAAGACTGGAGGATTAGCAGTATGGGACACTTGGGGATTGGTCTCCCAGTCCCTCCTCTCACTTGCTGTGTGTCCTCCTTTATCCCCTTCCCCCAGCAAGTTATTTTGTCTATCTGGACCTTTGTTCCCCTAGATTTGTAAGGAAGATTTGGATTCTGACCTCAAGGATTGCCCTGGCTGCATCCTGGGGCCCAATGAAACATTTCTGCTTACAGGAAAATGCTGGGAAAGTGCTGAGCTAATATCAGGGCCTGAGCGGGCTTGTCTAGAAGTGAAGAGCTGACTGATCTGGGTGGCAGGAGCTACGAGCCACATGGGCTTATTCCCGTAGCCTGAAATCAAATGAAGTTTGCCTGGTTGGATTTTGAAATTGTGTGCTAACCATGGCTTCTTTTTTTCTGTCCATTTTCTCTTTTGAAGAAGAATGTCTGTTATTCTATGCCTATCCCCTCACTGAATTTGGGGAGCAGCTGACTTGTTTCACAGGCTTACTGATGGAGGGCAATTATGCCTCAGAACGGATTCAACCCCGCACCTCATCTTTACCTGTTTTAGATGATCTCGTTTCAATGATGAGATCTGAGACTCTGAAGTTCAAAATTAGGTAAGATTTTGGATTCGAGCTGATACCGTGCGTTGAAACCTTGTGTGATGTTGGGACCCAGTGAAAGTATTTCGCGTGTGGGCTGGATATAAATCTTTGTGGCCTGGAGGGTGAACTGTAGTAGGCAGTATGACCCTCGCTTCCCCTAAGTTGTCCATGTTGCAATCCCTAGGGACTACGTATCTGCTATGCACCATGCCAAGGGGGAATTAAGGAGGAGATGGGATGAAGGTTACTAATCAGCTGACCTTAACATAGGTAGAAAAGGTGGGCCCAACATAATCACCAGGGCCTAAATGTGGAAGAGGTGGAAGAAACGGAGATTCAGAGACAGAGTGAGCAGGACTTGGCCCAGCGCTGCTGCCTTTGCTGGTGAAGAAAGAAGGCCACAAACCAAGGTATGCAGATGGTCTCGAGAGGCTGGAAAAGACCAGGAAACAGCTTCTGCCCTAGGGCCTCCCAAACTGCCAGATAATAAATCTGGGCTGTTTTAAGCCACTACGTTTGTGATAACTTGTTGCAGCAGCAATAGGAAATGAATACAAGTCCCGGCCAGCAGCTGACTCCTCCAGGATCTTAGACAAGTCGTTTGATCTTTGCATTCCTTCGTATTCCTCATTTCTCAAAATAAGAACTGCCATTGGGATCAAAAGTGACAAACAGGCAGAAGTGCCTGGCACACAGGTGCGTGTTGAAGGAGAAATTTCTAGCTTCCCTGCTCCTCTCTCGGCTGGGCAGGCACCAGGAGAGAAAGCAAGGGTCAGCTGCCATTCTCCCTGGAGCGCCCTCCACCCTGCTTCCTTTGATGTATAAAGGGCTCCCTTGGGAGCTCCCCAAGCACACATTATCTGGAGCACTGCTCCTTATCTGCCTTTGGGGGGCCCACAGCTCCTCCCTCCCGACAAAACCCCTTTAGAATACAAAAGCTCTTTAGAAGGGTCCGAGACAGAGCAGAGGCAGAGCCTTGCTGGGCAAACAGGCTTTCAGAGATGAAAGAGCAGCTCAGACAGCTATGGCAGTCCTATGGCCACCATATTTCCCATTGGAAGGATCTGGTAGTGGTGCCCTGAGGTGAGGCTGGCCTATTTAAAGACCTCAGATCGCCCACAGTCCCCCTTCCTCCTACCACACACCGGAGACAACACATCCCTCGAACATTCTAGGATTCCAACTCCTTCATTAGTTGTGTTATGAGCTTTTATTTAAAAAGCACATTTAATACAAGTATAGTTTCGCAGATACAAGTTTTCACTTTGTATTCTACAAAAGTCTTTGAATAGTATTCTCTTTACAAAATGGAACCTTACAAAAATACTGACACTTTAATGTTTTTATACAGTTTTCTCTAGTTGTAGTTATTTCTTTCATTGTAAAACAACGTCTACCACAGAACTACGGTATTTTAGTTGATATTAAAAAAAAAATAACTCAATGCTTTTTTAAGCAGCTAATGTAAATAACACAGGTCGAGACACAGTTTATAATCATAGTGGATATAGCTAAAATTGTTTCAGAAATAATATCTTACATAGTTAACTTTTAATGTTTTATACATTATTTATATAATATTTATATATAAAAATCATAGCTTGCTAGGAGTTGAAATGAAAGGACGGCTTCTGTAGTAAGGCTATGCGCGTGGTTGATCCATGTGGTTACACTTAGCCCTTTGAAAGGTCTGCATCCGTGATCGAAAAGCCTTTCTTCCTTCCTCCTTTCCTCCAAGGTTCAGTAGAAAGGATCCCTGTCTACTGCCTAGAGTGAGGCCTTGCTTGGAAGGACACTTATGGATAGAGGATGGGAAAAACTCTACGGAGATTTAACCCATGTGTTCTGCCCAGCAGAACCTACCAAGAACTGCCCTAGAGATCAACCCCAAGACAATAGTGCTTTACACAGCTTAGCAAGAGCAGCACCCACAGAGACCCTCGTCAGCTCCGAGATCTGGAAGGGTAGCCTCTCAGGCGTGAGACTGTCTGCTACTCTGGCTCATTCTGACTTCGAGTAGCCAAAAGCTTGGTGGGTTTTTTCATTCTTGCCCCTTCACTCCCATGTCTCTTGTGCATAAGGCTGCTTTCCATTAGCTGGCGGCAGAGCATGCCTTGACTCGTGTCCGGACCCTCCCAGGAAACCCTGGCGGGCACACAGCAAGGGCCTCGAGGGAGAAAGCAGTGACGGAAGCTAACTAACTATTATCCGAGGGCGTGCAGGTGCTGGGTGACTGGTGAACACAACAGAGGCCTCCCGTAGCCGACGGTCCCCCACGACAGCAGGACGCGGCAAAAGAAGACAAAGGAGGGCCAGCACCCTCGAGCTCTTCTGAAATTGTGCTATTTGCGAAATTCACTCATCCACAAAGAGTCTCCTAATCACTAACGTGAGGGGCTGTGGTTGCTGGCCTGTGGGCCGGGGGAGTGAGGGCTGAGGCCTCAGGAATGGGAGCTGGGACTCAGGATCAAATCACCTGGCGTAGAAAACCTGCTCTTTCCTTAGATTTAACTTCCTGAACCGAAGTCACAGTACAGAACAGAGTGGTGTGGACAGAGAGACACGAGAGAGGAGCCCCCCATGGCTATTTTCTTGATTCAGTGCTATTTCTGGCATTGTGTGCTACAATGGGAATTTGAGCTTTTTCTCACAGGCCTGGGATTCCTCGGGTCGCAAGGGTGATCGGCAGACTCTATGCAAATCATTTTTTAGTGTTTGTTCCAGAACAAGCCCGTGTTCACTAGAACATGAACACTTAAACCAATTGCACATCCAGGATTTCGGCACTTGGTGTTAATCTGCTGTTGTTTCCACATAGGTGAACGCTACCTATTTTGGAAGGCCACAAAGTAAGACTTTTTTTTTTTCCTTTTTAAAATCGGTTGGGCAAAAAGTTTTTCCCTACATTCTACTGTCTGATGAGATTGAAGAGCAGCAAGAACTTGCTGTCAGCAGTCATTTCATAAAACAGCTCAGGAGGTGGGCGGCACCTACACCATGTTGTGGTGATTGTTCCTGTCAATAACGTCCACAGGTGAAAGGATTTCCTTCCGGAGAGCTGAGGGAGGCAGGGAGAGTGTCGTCTTGGTCTTGAAGAGGTCGGACACAAAGAAAACCTACAAGCACAAAATCAGACATCCGAATCAGAAATCTGGGGTCTGGGGTCTGGGGATAGGCAAAGGGAAGGTCACAGGAGCACAGACTTTGGGAAAAGGGGACCCCAAACCGTAGAACTTTGAATAAGGAAGGATCACATAAAGATCACATATATAATATATTCCAACTTGTGTTCTACAGCTAGAGAAACTGAAGCCCAGGGAAGGACAGTGACATGCCCCAGATTGCACAGCTGTGGCAGGAGTAGAACTCAGTTCTCTGGACCCTCAGTCCAGTGTTCCATATCCGAAACCCTATTTCCTTAATTTCTCAAGGCAAATAAATAGTGATGAAAAATAAGTTCTTAAACAAGGAAGCAAATCGTAATTAGTCACATTCATTAATCCATGATACTTTCCCTTTCCCCATAAAGAAATCTAGGGTGTTGACCACAAGAGATCAGCCAACATGAATTCCTATCAGCAGGACTGGAGAAGGAAGCAGTTGTGACCATGTTTTCCTGAAAGCCCAGAGAGTTCAACAATTTGATGGGGGTGAAGGAGCTGGGGTTTTGTGGCTGAGGGAGAGTCAGCAACTAACCCGGGGGAGAGGTCAATGAAAACTCCTATCGCTCCTTCCCAACGTCCTTCCTCCTTGTGAACAAGACCTCACACAGTCTTAGAATCACTGAGGAACATTCACTGAACATCCAACATGTAGGGCTACGGAGATGGCTCATGCGTAGTTCCTGTCTCAATCAGCCGACGACGACAGATTCAAGAACTTGATGAGTTGGTGTAGTAAGAAAACTTTGTGCTTTGTATTAGATGGCAAAGTAAACATGCAGGCATCCTTTTCAGCCACTCAGCAACAGGAGTTTCTATTGAGTAAACCGTAAGAGGCAGCTATCAGTCACATCCTTTAATAGGAAACACATGCCTGGGTTTCAGAATGGAGACTAGAACACCCTTAACAATTTCCTTATGTCTAGCAGCTTTCTGGATTGAGATATCCTTGTCCTGCAGCGGGTCATGTGCTCACTAATGGTGATGGTACTGTGACTTCGGACACAGTATAGGCTGGCAAGTGACATTCTTAATTTAATAAGACTTTATCAACACCAAGGTTCGGAGCGGCCAAGGCCCGGCCATCATAGGGACTTGGATCACCTGCTGAACCAATTTCCAAAATGTCCTTTCTGGAGAAATACAGCAATCAACAAAAGGGCCCCAAAAATCACAGCAAGAAACTGGCGATGACGGTTATTCAGGAGCTCAAGTGACTAGAAGACAAACGGGAAGCAGAGACTCACCAGCCACGACAAAACTGTGACACCTTTTGCATTTTGTACCCAGGTCACAGATCACCTACTCAAACATTTGCAGTCCAAGAGCTACTCCATTTTACAAAGGAAAAAAATGAAGCCTTCTCTCCCTTTCCTTTCCAAGGAGGTATCAACAGTGAAAGAACTAAGAGCCAAGGCAAGAAAAGATTTGGACCCAACCCTGCTGGGAGGTTCTAGGCCCCTGGGCCGGAGATCCTTTATACACATCTGGAGAAGAGGCTTTCAAGTGCTCCTGGGATGAGGAAATACTAAGGAACACAATTAAAGTTAAACGCGGAGATAATTAAACTTTCAACTCTTGGCTGACAGGTACAGAGTCAGTGTCCCCACTTCTACCGGGAAACTACCCTCCCTTCCTCCTTAACTTTGTCTCTGAGGGTGTCTTCAATTAACCCCTCCATGGCTGACTCCCAGCTGCACTTGATCCTGCCCAGCAGCTGGCCTCACCAAATAAGGTCTCTTACTGCTCCCCGTTTCTCAGAGATCTTTCTCCCAGCTTCACTCCATCTGCTGAAGACAAACACAGCAGGGGGCAGTCCGCCAGCCCCCATCAACGTCTTCCCTTCAAGATTCTGACACTGCCTTCATCTACTGGCTCATTTCCCAGTTTAATTTTCAGAGCTCATATCTATTGCCTGTTAAGGTTTCTGTTTCCCAGCTGCAAGATGGGGATAATATCGAGGTTCAAGGCAATAACATACTCGAGGAGACCTAAACCTGAGTCTGGAATATAGTTCAATAAAAAAATGTTCCTTTCGGGGTGCCTGGGTGGCTCAATGGGTTGATCCTCTGCCTTCGGCTCAGGTCATGACCTGGCATCAGGCCCCACGTCAGGCTCTCTGCTCAGCAGGGAGCCTGCTTCCTCCTCTCTCTCTCTCTGTGCCTCTCTGCCTACTTGTGATCTCTGTCAAGTAAATAAATAAAATCTTTAAAAAAATGTTCCTTTTTGTAATGCTCTGGGCCCCAAAGTAAAGACCTAACGGACCTCGAGTAAGTCAAGCCCCTCATGTGACCTTGCTTGTCAGCCTTTCTCCCTAGATGGGAGGCCTCTTGGGGATGGAATCTGGGCCCTAATGATCCCACATCACCCATAACACTTAGCATTGGCCCTTGCCCACACGAGGGGCTCCGTGTTTGTTGTTGAATTTCTAAACTCCTCTCTACTGGAAGCAAGCACTCTAGGCTTCCATTTTATGGGCACAGGCAAATGCCCCAGACTTGAGGGGCACCACGCACTCATACCCTGCATGTACACAGCCGGGCAGCAGGATGAAAAGTTGAGTGAGGTCCGGCAGAATCCCCCTTTAAGCTGCATTTCGCTTTCAGCATGGCTTGAGCTTACACAAACACTTTTTTGGGATCATGAAACCCGATCCTGTCAGGACTCAAAACAGGGCTCAGTCTTTCTAACGCTTGAACAGCAGAACACAAAAAGGACTAGCAGAAGTGAAAACTTCGCTCGGAGCAGTTCCATTTCCTGCAGAAGGTGATCTCCACCCAAAAAGAAAACCCAGAGGCCCAGGCGGAGAGGCAGCTATCTGATGTCTAGGGAACCGCTCTCAGCCCACAGCCCTGGTCCACAGATCTCTCTGTAGGAAAGAGCGCAGTAGGTAATAAATGACAGTGTCGGCAACCAGGAATCTACACCCTAAGCAGCAAGATCAGCTCTTGCTTACGCTGCCCGAAGCATTTGCCTTCAATTCCATTTCTCTGATTCTTTGCATTTTATAAATTGCTTTTTCACACCGAACATCTGCTCTGTGCCAAGCCCTGATATTAGAAAGACAAATACACATAAGAGTCCTTTGCCCTCCAAAAGCTCGCAGGGCAATGAGGGAGAGATCCCGGCAAACAGACAGCTACAATGCAGTGTTAAAGATCATGACAGAGGGAAGCCCGGGTGTTGAAGTCGCGCAGAGAATGTGGCATCTAACCCAGACTGAAGCGGACAGGAGGCGGCTTTACAAGGCTTCCCCTAAGGAAGGTGTATTTGAGCTGAGCTCGATAAGGGTAAGTAGGAGTTAGCAGGTGGTGAACGCCAGGAATGTTGCTCCAGGCAGAGGAGCACAGGAGAGGCGACAGCATGTTCAGGAGCTTTGGGAAGGAAGCTCAGTCTGGCTTCGGCCAAGCGGTCAGTAAAGCTGAAGAGGAGAGAGCCAGGTCTCAAGAAGCCTCCCAGGACAGGTTAAGGAATTCGGACCTTATCCGGAGGGCCTCAGGAGCCACTGTCTAGGCATCTATGGGGAAGAAGCATGGTGAGAAGACAGTAGCTGATAGGCAGAAGCAGTCGAAAAGGGCACAGGGAACCTGAAGGCAAGGGCGCCAGGTAGGTCCTGCAGCACCTCGGGGAGGATGAGTCCACGGCATGGTTGTGGTACAGGCCAAGAAGACACAGTTTTCTGAGCCATTGAGAATGGACTGCTGTTGACAGAGATGCTGTGTACCAGTGTAGGTGGTTATGTGCGCAGGGGAGGTGGTACTTTCCTTTCGAGTTCTGCATTAACTCTAGAAATCTTTGCACTTGTTCCCACCAAACCTCTTAAGGTCTAGGGAAGGAAATTCTAGCTCTGCTTTCCTCCACCTTCGAATATTCAAGGTTCCTCTTGCAGTATCTTGGGGAAGTGGTTCTGACCTTCTCCTGAGTCAGAATGGCAGGCTATTTTGTGACCTAAGGGTGCAAGGTGACCTGATGGGACCCCACCCAAGGACCGTGGGGTCCTTCAACTGAGAGCAAGACTACATGCAAACAAGGCAATCCCAGGCGAGAAACGCCATTCACGGTTATGAGGGGGTAAGAAGCACACAGGGAGTCTCCTTGCCAACAATGGCTGTCTTTACTGGACTATCGCACGCTTGCAACCAGCTCTGCCCACTAGAGCAAGACAGACTAGCCTTCAAACCCAGGCCCTGCCATTTTCAGTAAAATACCTAAATGAGAGACCCAGGACCCACCTCCAAGCGTTACTCTAAGGACGTGTTATAACAAAAGACATAAGCATGACAACGTGCCTGGGGCCCAGTAAGAAGTTAAAAAATGGGAGCCACTGTCACTGGCTTGTGTGTTCAGTGCCTATCCATACAATGTCACTTCTCCTCCCCCGCCCTTTGTGGGGGAAGGCAACAAACAAGAGAAGGCGCTAGGAAAGAAGGAAAAGGAGAGAAAGAGGGAGAGAGGAATGAATCAGAATTATAAGCCAACAGGTAGAAGTCAAGCCAGACAGGAAGACCATAGGCAGGTGGGAGTTTTCCAGAAGGCAGATAGAATCTGATCGCTAGGTCCTGTAATTTCTGAGGCTATTTTGGGGAATGAGTCAGCACAATCAAAAAGGAAGATGCTGTTGATGTTCTGTCGCTGGCACTTACTGGCTCCAAGAGATGCCAAACCCCCAGGAGCCCACACAGTCCAGTGCTGCTGGGGTACTGCCTGGCTGGAGCTCACCAAGAACTGAGGCGGCCAGGAACAAGCATCCTGGTCTACTGCCAGGTTTCCACTCCTGCTGCTGCGAATGGCCAGCTCAGCAGATGCGGAAGGTCATGTTGTTAAGAGTTGCTTATGGTGACAAAATTGTTCTTTATGTGTTCCTGGGGTCCTTGCGTGTGTCGACTTCTGAGAATGTGTAAGTGAATGCCTTGAAAAGAGCAATCACATCCTCAGACACTGAGGTTTTTAGAAGC